GAAAGATATTTGAACAATGCTCAGGTGGATGACACGAAAAGCAATCTCAAGTCTCATTTTGGATTCTTCCCCATGTATATACAAGTTAGAGTTTACAAAAATCTGTTTCCAGAATCAGAAATACCTCTTCTCAAGATTATTCTGTTTATCAGAGATGTATTTGAGAGTATGTAAAAGCAAATTAAATATGTTAAGCAGCCATTCAGCACCTTAGACCAACCGCCATCCTGAGCCTTTGGGGCGGGGGGATGCTGTTCCCTTGCATCACGGTCCTGTTGCTTCTTCATTGTTCACTGAAGAGTCGGGGATTCTGATGCTTTTTCTTCCCTGCTTCAGAGAAATATTGAAGACAGCTTGTGGAGCTTTTCAGGAAATCCGAGGCTTGTTTCATGCTCCTGAAGCTTGTACCGAGGGAGATAAGGACATACACAGAGAAAATGAATTCTAGTATATTCTTATTTAGTTTTCTTTTTTTAATGGCTCATTATACCAATGCAAAATGAAGCACTTCCTCTAAATTTCAATTGCTTTTTATTTCAGATGATGGAAGGAGATTCTCTGACACTTAATATTTGAAATTTTGAAAGTCGGTGCTCTTAAAGAACACATTCCTCTCGGAGAAAGTTTCAAACCACTTCAGATCAGTGTGTTGCTGGTAGAAAATAAAAGAAGTTGCAGTTATTGAGGGTTAAGGTAAGCTTGAGATGTCTCTCTGACATTTTTCCATCTCTTGTAAGAACTTCAAGCCCTCTAGATAAAATAGAACTCTTCAAATTCTTAGGTGCTTCCAAAGATTCCTTTCCTCACCTTCATTTCTGAAGAAAGTTGTGTGTGTGCTTTACCTGAAATCTTTATGACTTAATTCTAGTTTTTGTTCACTTCTTTTATTCTCTGTGGTTTTAAAACAGGTGACAACCCACTGGTCCACGTGATTTCCTCCCCATCATATGGGACGGCAAGCTACTAAAACCTTTATTTTTAGACCATAATGAAAACTTGGTCTCTATACACCAGGTACTGAAAAGTATCAGGTAACTAGTTAGTTACCAAACTAAGTAGGGTCCCATAATTAATCATCAATAATTAAACATCAATTGGATGCAGGCCATGTAACTGCAAGGAGCTTGGTGGTGTCATCAATCAAGTCATCTTGTTGACAAACACAGGATGGACTCAATTTACATATCAAACTGACACCTGTCTTAATTTATTACTTTTGATTACATGTATAATTCCTCCCAATATCTATAGTGACTTATAGTTTTATTGAGTGGGTAAAACATCTGTGTAGTTGCCTGGCCTAGCATTCTGAAATAAAATAAATACTGGTAAGTTATACCCATTGTTAGAGATGTTTGGTAGACAACACAATGAAATTAGCCATGAAAGTTGTACCTGAGAGACTGAGAGTTAGCATATGAGTTCTTATTTAGTGTATATAAGTTTGACATGTCCTCCATATTTTGAATAACATACTTTGTAAGTACAGGTTCCTGTGACTCCTACATGATAAAGTCCACACTACTTGACCGTGTTCACAGGGCTTCAGTATCTGGCCTCAGCCTATATTTTCAGACGCTCTCCATTAACCTTTTCCAGGACTTTTAACATTTTGCTGTAATTTAAATGTGTGAAATTTCCTAGATTCTGCTTTTCTAATCTCAGAGACTTATGCTAGCTACTCCCCTGAGACCTTCATGTGTTAACCTTCTATCACTGCAATAAATATCTAGGCTAACCAAATTATGAAATGAAAATATTTATTTTGGCTCCATCTTTTTGAGGTTTCTGTCTGTGATATTTTTGACCCATTACTTTTGGTTCTTTGGCAGAGCAGCACGTTGAACTCATGCCCAGAAAATGAAAGAAGAGAGGACAGAGATAGCACGCTACTATCCCTTTAAGCGTGCATGCTTAGTGGCTGGAAGACCTCCTGCAAGGCTCTGCCATTCATTAGTTTCTCACTCAGAGAAATATCCTTTCTTACATGTGCTCTGAATTTCTTCTCATTCATCTCAACATATATATTTGAAATTTCTTTATTCTTGTCAAATGCACATCCACCAGAGGTAGAATAGTCATCTATTTGAGTTTCACCCTCTTAAAAATCACTTTGTCATCATGAAGGTCTTGTTATACTACCATACTGTGGAGGTTTCATTAGTATAGCTTCCCTATCATGTCTAGAATGCATTAACTAGCAGCAGGTGTCTTGTCCCTCTGGCTCTTACATTCTTTCCACTCTGTCTTCCCAAGATGTTTCCTGAGCCTTAGGTGTAGAGATTGCATTTTAGAAGTGCCTGCGTAATGACAAAAAGAGATGACATGCCAAAGTCGATGGAGGAAATTTCATGGATTCCCACCTCAGATGAGGAGCTATAGCCAATCCATGGATGCTGAGGGAGGGAGAATCAGTTTCCTCCAGGGACCAGATCCCTGAGAGGTTTTCTAATCCTAAGTGGACAGTCCTAAACACAGGCACATTCAAGTACCACCAAATGAACTTGGTGCAATATATATATATGTATATATGGGTATATATGTGTATTTATAAATGTATGTATGTGTAACAATAATAAAAAGATGTCAAGTATTTGAGAATAGGTACATAGGAGGAGTTGGGTGGGGACTCAGAGGCGTGGAAAAATACAAATAAAATGTTCATTTGTGAAACTGCAAAAATAAAAATAAAAACAAAAATCTCTTTGAGGACTAATTGAAATTCATTGGTATATGGAACTCTGCTAATAGAGCAATGTTAGAATCCAGCTATATATTATCAGATTAGCAATACTGTTTTGAATTCAAATTTAGATTCCCTCACTAACTAGTAATGAGCTCGTGGAAGAGGATTCATCTCACTGAGCCTGTTTCTTCATCAGTATGTCAGAATTAATCACTTTTCAATTCATGAGAAAAACAAGGTTAGTGTCTTATAAGTGCCAGACACCAAAAATAGGGGCTGGAGATGGCTCAGCAGATAAGTGTGTATATCACTCTTACAAATGACCAGAATTTGGGTCCTAGTGCCCACATCAGGCAGCCCACAGCTACCTGTAACTCCAGCTACAAGGGATCCCATGCTCTCTTCTTGCCTCTGCTGTCACTGTACTCATGTACCCAATACCCCCCACACACGTGCACACAATTAAGAATGAAAGTTAAAATTGAGATGCTGATAATCAGAAATGTGTAATATATTGTTTAAATACTACATGACTTTTCTATATTTTCCTTTACCTACAAGCATAGAGAAGCTATGAAATATTTAAAAATTAAGTAGATTATTAT